GCTCCCACTGTCATCTGTCAAACCAGCGGCTCACCTATCTGAGCTAACCGTTTGGAGACGTGTTACGCAGATCATGTTTGAGTCTAAAATAGGTGGAATTCCCAGTCCGGGTAAAGGGGAGGGACTCAAACCAAAGAAAATTTTGCTCCAGTAGGAACAGAGGAGCTAGCTGCTAACGGGATGGAAGCAGTGTGAGGAGCACTGCACAAAACCACCGATAGCAATCAACTACCTGTCTATTGTTTCTAAATTCCTAACTCACTTGGTATAAATAACAAAGGTGAGGAGACCTTTTGGACAATTGCACAAGCAGTGTCAGTAGGCATTTCTTGTAAGAATTGGTCTAAGATGCTTGTGTATCAACCTTCCCTTCTAACCCGGGAACACAGTTCTGCATGACTTTCCTGATTATTGCTTACCTCTTTTAACTTGTCCAGCTCATTCTGTAGTGTCTGCTTGGATATTTCCACCTCAATGATTTGCTGGCGAAGGATTTCATTTTCATCTTCTGCTTTAACACGTTTCTCCTCCACGCTTTCCAGCTCGTGGTGCAGTCTGACAGAAACATCTTTGGCTACCTGGTCAAAACAGCACAAAAACATGAAGATGATATGAAATAGGAGGAGCAGCACCTACAGTAGGAAACATATTACAGCCCTAGATAGTGGGGAGATATTCAGTTCAATTATGAGACTGACTGTTGATGAAAGATTCCAAGTCTTTCAAATACCAAATGAATAGTGATTTCTAATAAAGAAATCCAAGATGAAAACCTCGTCGATTATCCCTCTCCACCTCCCTTTCCACGTTATGCTAAGGCATGGACAGCATGTGGAAACAAGCAGATACCAGGCCTGTACATCAAAGTCCCAGCATATCATGCTGATAAAACAGAGGATGAGGAATTGTGCTGTACAGCTGATAGGTCATTGATCAAAGCCACATCCAGGCAGCAGTCTCATCCACCAGAATTTGCTGCTGTAGCAGCAATCACAACCAGGCAAGAGTGATATGAAAGCACAGAAATACACGCTAGCTTAGGATTTCTGAGTCCAGCTTAACAAGAATGAGTATTTACTCCAAAAACATTCTGAAGGGTTATTCATCACTCAGAATGATGAATTACAACAATTCAGCAGAAACAAAGCAAACAAAGAAAACCAGTACCTCTTTCACTTGAATCTATGGACAAGGCGGACAAGTTTTTTTTTTTTTTTTTTTTTTAACCAAATAATGTATCATTTTTATGATGATAAAGTTAACATTTGTTTTCTGCCACAAAAAAAAGAAATTGGGTCTGACATCTTGAAAAGCTTGATAACTTGATATGCCACTTTGATTTCCATTGCTGGGAACCAGTAATTCCAAATTCAGAAGGTTTTGTGTTTTACATTTTCAACTACAAAGTGCTTAATAATTCTAGCGGTTAGCAATCCTTGTCTACAGAAGTTATTTTCAAAACAGCTACAAGAAAGCAATATTCAGAAAGACAACAGCAGCAAAAGCTAGATAAAAATTATGCCTATACAAAGCTTAGCTTTGAAAGAAACATTTCTAAAAATATAAAACTGTTTCAGTATGAACAGAATTTTTTAATGGGAATTAGCAGTTTTATTCTCTTTTTGCCCCCTTAAATGTTATAAAAGTCCACTCCTGTATGAGGACCAAAAAGAGGAGCTCATTAGGAACTAAGAAATGCAACTTTGACTAGACTCTTTCAGATATTTGACTTAAGTAAAAAGTGAAAAGGAGGAAAGTAGAATAAATAGGGAATAGTGCATCAGGTTTTGTTGGTAGTTTGGGAATTCTAAGATTTTGAGTAACACAAGCAAAAAAAAACCCTTTAAATCTTTCAAATGCACAAATGCAACTAGACTGCATCTCTTTCATTTGACTCTAAGCACATACTTTTTACTCAATAACACATCTTTTCAGGCTAATAGGCTGAGTATTGTTTTTCTACCGCAGAATAAGGAAATTGGTCCTGACATTTTGAGAACTACCGTTGGTTTCGTATGTCGCCCTCGCTTCCATTACAGGGAACCAAACCACAGTCTACTGCCTTGCACTGTGACTGGGCACATGAATCTCTCACCTACCTTTAAATCTTGTTCCAAGCTCCTAATAAGCTCTCCATCCACTTGGCCTGTTTGTGCAACTTTCAAGCTTTTCTGCTCTGCTTTCCTGAGACGATACTGCAGAATGCGGCAGTTCTTGTTTGCTCGGTCCAGCTCTCGACGGAGCTCCTGCAGCTGGTAAACATCTTCCTCTAGATAACTGTCACGCATTTCTTCCATTTCAGCCCGAAGTTCATCCAGCTCATCCTGTGAAAAGTCAAAACAGTGCTCCATCATACCTCGAAATCTCACCCCTGGGAAAGAAAAGGAATCGTGCTCACTAGGATACTATACTAATGAAGTGATACAGATCGCAACATGCAGCTCCAGAAGGCATAGGAGCAGCAGTTTTAACCCAACATTAAATAATCATGCTGCACTAAATTAATCACAGAATCACAGAATGGTTGAGGTTGGAAGGGACCTCTGGAGATCATCTCGTCCCACCTTCCTGCTCAAGCAGGGTCCTCTAGAGTACATTGCCCAGGATCGCATCCAGGTCGGTTTTGAATATCTCCAGGGAAGGAGACTCCACTACCTCTCTGGGCAACCTGTTCCACCACTCTGTCACCCTCCCAGGAAAGAAGTTTTTCCTCAGGTTTAGATGAAACTTCCTGTGGTTCAGTTTCTGCCCGTTGCCTCTTGTCCTGTCACTGGGCACCACGGAGAAGAGGCTG